AGAGCTATAACAATGATGTGCTTATTATGAAAGAGATTCTAAGAGAAACAACACAAAAGGCAAAATTTTAATCAAATTGCTAAATCCCTTTCACTGATTTTAAATGATTACTAGTAAAATAGGAAATGTGCTGCTTAGATTTCTTTTCCTACATTTTTTACCTTTGTCCCCTCTTTCAAGTCTAACACAGTTGTGGGAATAGATAGAAAGGCTTTTCTAAGGTGTCTTAAAATAATTTCTACAATACATAATTCCATCCTAGTTTGGTACAACATGACTCAGGTTTGCTTAAGTGTTATTTGCTTTTCAAGGGGAAAAGGGTTGTTATTATTACTAACAATATTAAAATAATAACAATGAAATATTAAAATAATATTTAACAATTTTAAAATAATTGCTTTGGTCTTTACAGTAGCTAGTTGTCTTTTGTCTCTTAACCTCAGAGCTCAGAATTTCATTTTATTTAAGAATGTCTTTCCTAAGAATGTTCACTATACATTAGATCAATTTAATAATATGTGAGAAGGATAAACAACATATCACTTCTTTTTATCTTTTCTTTAATTCTACTCTTTTAATCTCTCTGAAGTTATATATTTGTATTCCCCACTACTTCATCTACGTTAGTCATTTAAATGAAAGAACTGAAAGCCTAGTGGATTTTCAAGGTCTAGGCTGTTGAACTCCCTGTCATCTTTTTATTCCCCTTTTCAAATGCTCCTTTCCATTACTAATATCAGTTACCTTTTTAATTAGTGGCTTTTTAACATTGCTCACTTTCAGTAACATTCAATTATAAAAAATTAGAACTGATGCCAGCTTATTGGTTATGCATGAAGAAGTTAACCTAGACCTAAGGAAATTATATTCCTCTCTTAATGGACATTTCTCAGATAATGAATGGAAGCATTAACTTTCTGTATACAACATTACAAACAGAAAGTTTCCAGGTTCTTTAAAACACAGTGACACAGTGTTACTATATTACATAGGTTTTAGTTTACACACACACACACACACACACACACACACACACACACACACACATACACATATGCACACACAATATTGTATAAATGCACATACTCTGTTACATAATTAAAAAGACATGACATGTCTTTTTATTTTTAAGTATCTTTCTAGTAGAATTTGTATTCCTTCCCCATATAAAAAATGTGCTTGTAAATAAATAAATTAATGTCTTGAATGTTCAATATCCATTGAAAAGCCATCATGTACTACATGATTTAAGAATCATGCCTTTATAAAAATCACATAATTAAAAATTACTCTAGTGAGTACTTTTATGAAACATACTAAGAATAGAAAAAGCTACAAAGATTAAATTTAGTACGAACACAATGGAAATTAGGGTGGAGTTTCCTCCAAAGACCAGGAATCAAACTATCATATGACCCAGTATATCACTCTTTGGTATTTATCCTAAAGTCAGCATATTATAGGGATACATGTATACCCTTGTTTATATAAGCACAATTCACAATAACCTAACTATGTCCATCAATGCATGAGTGGATTAAGAAAATGTAGTATATATACACAATGGAGTTTTATTCAGTCCATAAGAAGAATGAAATCATGTCATTTGCAGGAAAATGGATGGAACTTGAGAACATTATGGTAAGCCAGAAAGCCAAGCTTAGGTAGCCAAGGGTCGTATGTTTTCCCTCACTTGTGGAAGGTAGAGAGGAAAAAGGAAAAAGTTTTGTGTGAGGATTCTTATGAAAATCAAAGGGAGATCAGTAGAGAAAAGGGCCCAGGAGAAGGGAGAAAGGGAGAGAAAAGGAACTAGTGGGGAATGGTATTGTTATTTTGTATGCATGAATGGATTTATAACAACAAACCCCACCATTATGTATAATCATAATTCACCAATAAAAATATGGAAAAAAGGTACAAAACTGAGATAAATAAAAACTACTTTACATTAGATAAGAAACTAAATTCATTTAACAAATATACACCAAAAATAATGTCTCAGTCTAAAAGAGTTTAATTTCATGTAAGCACACTACCACAGAAGAGAATAGGGGAGAAGTGTCTGCTCCAGACACTGGAAATATTGTGACCTCCAAAATGTCTTTGGGCATGATGTCACACTCTCAGTAAGATGGAAGGTATAGCAGACACACATAAGTAGATGAGAAGTTGTTATGGATCAGATTTAGAAGTGACATATATCACTTCTGCTTACATTCTATGGGCTATGACTCAATGGCATTTAGTTCTACCTTGCAGTAGAGGACAGGAAATGTGGCCTACATGGTGTCCAGTAGAAGAAGAAAAAGAATTTTGGTGATCATCTATCAGGTTCTACCACATGAATCTCCAATTGTGCTTAGACACTAAAGGGAATTCAAACTGTCATGCTGTTCCTATTGCCCAGTTTTTCTCATAAACTTTGAGTCTACTAGCTTGTTCTTAGAGCAACCTAAATTTGAGGGAAAATTTGGGACTAATGAATAGTCTCACAGAGACCCAGTAAGAGACGGGAGAATTTGAAAGCCTGATGAAAGCTTTAAGAGCCCTTTCTTTAAAATATACATTGAGCCATATGGATGAAATTTAGCTTACTCATACTGAGTGGTCATATGCACATGGTGGCCACCCATAGTAAAGAGCTCCCAATTGAGAACAAGAAGAATATTTATTTTTATTTGCAGTGATGTCCTTACAATTTTGTTTGTTTCAAATATATACTGCTGAAATACCTTACATTTTAATATTCCTCAGTAAAACCAAAGACGGAAAGTGGAGATTATTTCTCTGCTAACCCTAAAGGAGGGAAGGTGGTATAGTGGGTAGAATCATGGCCTTCAATGAGATATTTACGTTTCTTCTTTACTGAAAGATGAGATTAAGCTATGTTTCTTGGTACCGTTTCATTCTTTCACCTGAAAGATTATTTAAAGTCCAAGTGTGAAATATGTTTTATTGTCTAGATAAATCACCAATAAGTTATCATTCCCTGCTTCATAAATGCCATTGTACCCTGCAAGGGAGGACAGGAAATCACGTTCAGAGGCATTTAAGACAGATTCTTGCTTAATATCTATAAATATTGTAGAGTTCATATAGCTTTCATTTTGCTTAGTCTGACCCCATAGTTCAGATTATCTAAACAAGTGTAATTTAAACTCAACTGAGTCAACACTTCTCTACCACTAATGTCGTTTCTATAGTACTTTCAAATCTATACTACCTATTGCTTGGCTTTCATGCTCTGTTTCTTTTTAATTCTTCCTGTTTCTTCATTTTATTTATAGTTTTTTTCCTGCATTTTATCCAAAGATCTACTTTACCCTTATCTGAATCTCTTATATGATACTTTAAAAAATTGTAGTAGAGTTCCCATTTATTTTCTAATGCTTTTCTTTGTTCATAATCATTAATTTTTTTTTTAGTTATAGATGGACACCATACTTTTACTTTATTTGTATGTCTTTTTAGGTGGTGCTGAGGATTGAACCCAGGGCCTAGCACATGCTAGCAAGGGCTCTACCACGGAGCCACAACTGGAGCCCCATTCTTCATAATTATTGATGATGTGTTTTCACAACTATTAATGGAAAAAAAAACAGAAAATTAGAACCAGAGATTTAGTAATACAAAGTAAAAACTTTTCTATTTTCTTTAAATTAAAATTTGCCATGGGTCAGATTTTCTATATTATATTTGCCCTATAATTTAAATATATATGTAATTCAAAACTAATAATAATGTTCAAACTTAAAAAATGATACTACATTCTCACTTTTCTAATAATTCATTATCTGTATACTTCAGTAAGATCATGGGAGCCAATATAATATCTGTTGAAATAGTATAAAATTTATGCAACTATTTAGAAAACAAAGATTCTGCAAATATTAACTTTAAGAAAATATCAAATCAAAAAACAGTCATATATTCAATTGTATTTTTTGTGATCTGTGCATTTTTCAGTAGACATTTTTCAAAAGGACAAAGAAAACCCAACAAAATACAATTAACACTTTATAACAACTCCTTGCTAGCTGTTAGAATACATCCTCATTTGAAACCATATCTTCAGTTATTATTGCTAAAAATAAAAGAATAATTTTTTACAAAGCAATTTTTCCTGTTATATGTCTATGATATAAATAGTAAGAACATGTCTTACACTATGTATTATAAGAATTGATACAATAGAAACCTTGACAGAAATGCAATCCTCAGTATATGCGCGCGCGCGCGCACACACACACACACACACACACACACACACACACACACCTTACATTTTTGGCCTACAACAAGGGTAATTTAGAGAAATGTTCAAAGTTAATCAACCAAGATTCCTACCTATATGTTATTTGCTTTACTTTTTATGTAAATTTTGTTTTCATATTATCAGTGATTTATAGCTACTAAGATTTCCTACCCATACCTTAATGTTAATATAATCTTTTACTTCTAGTATTTTATTATCAGATAATTTTAGAATTGAATCTACTGAAAATATGCAAAACAAACAATTTTCAAAACAGGGAGAAGTTTACTTACCAAAGATAGTAGCAAACAAGTATATACTCAGTAAAGTAGCAGAAGATAAAATATTAAGTTAGAGCCAGATTTTAGGGAGAGAGATGCTTAAGATATTTGTTAGATAGATAATAGAAAACCATCAAAGTTTGTTGGAATGGGGAATGTGATTGAGATTTGAACTCTATTCCTGTTAAATCACAATGCAGTATTACTCAGAGTTTTTAGTTGCAATTTATCCTTATCAAGGCTTCTGATTAATTATATTTTTAAATTTGTGTAGCAAGTCTACAATACATCTACCTGTTGAACACAAATGTTTCTGCGGTATTTTGCTCATGATTTTCCATCTTGAATTCAATAGAAAGGCCTTTCTAATGTATGATTCATTTCGTGTCATTTACAAAGTATCTCCATTTAGTTTGATTGTTTTTCATGATTAATGCTGATAGCTGGTTTGTTTTCTATTCTAGGTTGTGGAAACGAATTTGGTTGCTTTTGACTGTCACTGGATCATTATAAATGAGGTAAAGTCAACTAACCCTTATTGTCAACTCTGTGTCCTCTTTTCATATATATATAGTTCCAACACTTCCTATAGCCTTGAATTTCTGGGAGGAAACAGAACATGAAGTAAACTTTCAGCACTGAGTGAATGCTGTTAAATAAAAATAGAATGGAGAGTTTTTAAATGCTAAAGGACTTTATATGAATAAAATAAGTGGAGAAATTCTCCCCCACTGAGTATCTTTTAGCTTTGCTGTTGGCACATAGTGCCTGCTCAGAGATCATCTTTATAAAAAGTACAGATCTTCTTTGTAAGCAAAGTGAATTCCTCCCAGTGGAGTGCTTGTGTTCCATTTATATTTTAATGTTGTTTCTAAAACTTTTATATCCACCCCCTTACATGAGGATTAAATAGTTCAGCATATGAATATGAATCAACACAGAACAGATTTTTTTCCCTTTTCATAACATACAATTTTTTAAAAATCCATAGACTTGTCAAATTCCTTGTGAATTTTTTTTATTTTTGCCAAAATAATACATAAGATTAAAAATATGTTACAACCCAAGAGCCTTGTGAAATGAGTCTTTCCGTTAGCACCTGCCAGTCAGAATCAGAAAGAACAATGACATTAGCACTGAACAAATAATGTGATCACATGAATTTGCCCTTCACAAGACATAGTATTCAATCATACCTATCACTTGTGAATAAAGACGATCTATTATCTATAGCTACTATCTGTAGAATTATAGAATAATATGATTTGTTTTAGGGTAAGAATTATGGTTTTTCAGTCTCAAAAAAAAAAGGTTCAATTCTGGCTATAAAACTTGTTAGCTGTTTCCATGGACAAATAATCTTCCTGTACTTCAGTATATTCATTCATACAATAAGTATGATGATAACATTTACTTTAAAGGTTCATAATAAAAATTAAATTAGATATTATCTAATCTCTAACTCAGTGCCTGACAAATGACACATGATAAATGGTATCACAGTAATGATCATTTCCTATTAAAGTTCACAGATCGCTCTCTCTCATTACTTTATTGAATTCTAAACATTATTCATAAGTTATTGAGATGATCAGGGTCATAAAAGATAAATGATTTGCCTCTTTTTATGTATAAAAGTAAAAATAGTTTCCAGTTTCAAGTTGTTTCTCCTACACAACACTTCACTGATGGAGCGGTTCTTTTTAGCTCAGGGTAAAGACACTGGAAATGTCTTACAAATTTGTTTTTGGTCTGCCAAATTTATATCTTTATGATTTGTCACTGCACTTTTTGTGTCAAATTAAGATGTGTTGGCCTGAGATTCACCCATGTGATGTGTAGGCGATTTCCCTGCTTTTCAGGGACGTTTTGATACCTTCTAATTTTCTCATGCCTCTTAATTTTCCACCGAGAATATCTGAACCTAATGATAGAGGGAAGAACAAAAGGGAAGGCAATGCAGCAAAACTTCATAGCTTTTCACACTAGATACTTTATTTTTCTTTTTGGGCAAGGAAACAAAGGCTCAGAGAAATCGAATAGTTTACCAGATATTACAGAACTATTAAGTGGTGATAATCAGATATAAAACTGATTTCTAATAAAGAGCTGGACTTGTTGTCGGTTTATGTTATTTGTGATAATTCTCCTCATGTTTTTTTTTTTT